AACAGGAGAGGTCTGCTGTGCTACATGTGGTTCAGCTCCCTGGCCAGGGATTGAACTGAGGCTGTAGCAATGATAGCTCTGAGCCTTAACCCCTAGGCCATCAGGGAGGCCCCAAACTTTCAGTTATAAAATGAATAAATTCTGGAGATCTAATGTACAATATGTTGACTATAGTTAATAATGTTGTATTTTATACTTGAAGTTTCCTAAGAGAGTAGATCACCACATATACACAAGGGTAACTATGTCAGATGATGATTGTTTTTGTTTTTTTGCTTGTTTTTTTTTTAAAGATTTATTTATTTATGCATACAAGAAGTGGGGTACAGGCCAGAGGTGTGGAGGGTGAGAAGATTCACCAGAGACAGAATGGGGAACAGAATAGGCAGACTGACTGAAATACATTGCTGAGGGGAGTAGCAGGTAAGACAGAAGAGGTCTGCTGCGCCATGTGGGTAGCTCCCTGGCAGGCCGGGAATGGAACTCATGCTGCAGAGGCTGAAGATTGCTTCATGGTGTGGTGCTTAACCCCTTGCGCCACCAGGGAGGCCCAAATGATGATTGTTAATTAGCCTAACTATGGCACTCATATTAGATCATCATACTATAAACCATAATACATATAATTTTTATTTGGCAGTTATACCTCATTAAAACTGGAGAAAACAATAAAAAAGCTTTCATATCCTCCATTTATAGATTGAAGGTAGCAACACCTACTTTATTATTTGTTATAAGGTTTAAATAAATATTTCAAAGAGCTGAGAACAATATCCATAACACTGAAAATACTCAATAAATGTTAGCTATTCTTATTTGAGAAAATAATATGAAAGTCCCCAATATGAAAGTCAGAGAACAAAACAAACAGTAAACACAACTCAAAGAAATAGAGACCACTCAAAGAGAACACAAGAAACACTCACTCCCCAAATTGCATTTTTATTTTCTCAGAAAGTTAAAAGATGCTGCAGCCATTAAACAAGAGACTATAATAATAGTAACAATTTTAATTAAAGTAAAATATTACAATAGTAAAAATTTAAAATTCACATATGAAAGATAAAGTTGAGAACATTGTCCCAGAAAGTAGACCAAAAAAATGGAGGGAAAACAGAAAAGGAGAATTAGAGGAATAATTCATAAGGTTCCACATCTGAACAACAGACATTCCAATTCAGGCAAGAAGTAAAATGGACAAGAAATTATCAAAGATCTGTAACAAAAAAGACTTTGTCAGAACTAAAGGTATGAGTCCCCCAAAACAGACATTTCTGTGTTCAGCACACTGAGAGAAAAACTCGCATAAAAGCACATCACGGTCAAATTAAAAAATTTCACAAGAAAAAAAATCTCAGAAGTTCCCATCAGAGCACTCAGCACACTTTTTGGTTGTCATTTTGTACAAGTGAGGGCATGGACAAAGTCCCCTTCTCAGTGGTACATTTAGGCACCGAACCACAGTACCTAGAAAAGAGAAGGTGGGCCTCCCTGGTGGCACAAGGGGTTAAGTCTCAGCACTATGAAACTGTCCGCAGCCACAGCAGCACGCTGGATCCCAGGCCAGGGAGGTGACCCACATGACACAGCAGACCTCTCCTGTCTTGCCTGCTGCTCCCCTCAGCAGTGTATTTCAGTAGATCTGCCTGTTTGGTTCCCCATTCTGTTTCTGGTGAATCCTCTTACGCCCCCACTTTTGGCCTGTACCCCAGCTCTTATATGTATAAATAAATAAAACTTCAAAAAAAGAGAAGGTGCATAATATTTGTTGAATCAACAACCCTGTGTAATTTTTGAAAATACAAAAATCACTCCATGCACCCTCGGTAATCCCTCCTTATTCAAGGCGAGTATTTTAGGGTTGTCAGACATTGACTGCATGGATTAGATTGATGAATCCCAAAAACGAATAACAAATATTCAGATGATGCTTTGAAGGAAAAACTTCAGGGACTGCAGTCCAAAGGCGCTAGATAATGGGGTGGGGGGGTTTAAAAAAAAAAAAAGCGGTTGGGCCTTCCCTGGTGGCGCAGCGGTTGAGCGCTGGGCTGCGAGGCTGCCCGCAGCCTCTGCATCGCCGGTTCGATCCCCGGCCGCAGGCGAGAGTCCCACATGGTGCGCAGACCTCTCCTGCCGCATCCGCTGCTCCCCTCAGCAGGGTATTTCGTCAGTCTGCCTGTTCTGTTTCCCGCTCTGGCTCTGGTGAATTCTCTCACCCTCCCGCGCTTCTGACTGTACCCAGTGCTTGTATAAATAAATAAATAAATAAATAAATCTTTAAAAAAAAAAAAAAAAGCCCTAGATCTGAATCCTGGCTCTTACAAACTAAAGGGAATATTCAGCCCCTTGGAAAAGAATTTCTTGAGCTCAAGCTATCCGGGCAGAGGTGCAAGGAGGGAAGTAGCCCTTTGGTGGTTAGTATGAAATAGTTCTTTCCTTCCAGAGAGCATGATTCATGACAGACTGGGGCAGAAGCCCACAGCATCCCAACCGGTCATTCCCCAAACTTTCCAACCCATTTTCCACACAGCATCAAAACACATTTTCAAACTGAACATGGCTTATTACTTGCCTGGTTAGAATCTCTTTCAAAGGTTCCCCTGTATCCTCAGGATGAACGTTCTAGAAGAGTTTCCAGCAGCTCAGAAGCTGGCACTTCGCGGACCTCCCTCTCCCATTGGTCTCCTCTTGAGTCTGCACATGGGGCGGAGTCTCGCTTGCCCAGCAGGGATCTGATGAGCTTGGATGAAGACTTGAGCATGCGCTACATAACCCCGCCCTCCGTCCCTAATTTAAAATCTCCTGGTCTGCAGAAGCCTGAGTGCTTGCTCCTTCTTCCTCAGTTCTGTTAAGTAAAACTGCACATCTTTAAAATGTACGATATGAGTTTTGACCTAAATATGCACATATGAATCCATCACCACAATCAAGCTAATAAACATAGATAAGCATCACCTTCAAATATTTCCTCCTGTCCCTTTGTAATTTTGTCTCCAGCCTTCGTCTCTGCAACCACTAAACTGCTTTCTGTCACCATAAGTTAGTTTTTAACCTTCTAGTATTTTATATAACCGGAATAATTCTTTGGGGTACTGTTTCTTTCACTCACCGTAATTATCTTGAGATTCATGAACGCTGTTGTATGTATCAATGGTTCATTACATTTTATAGCTGAGCTGTATTCTAACGATATATGACTATATGTTCACATGTTGACAGACATTTGGGTGGTTTTCAGTGGGAGGCCATTGTAAGTAAAAATGGTATAGATATTTGTCTACAAGTCTTTGGGTAAACATCTAGAAGTGGAAAGGCTGGGTCTCATGTTAAATGCATAAATTGTAAAGAAAACTTTTAAAGAAGTAGTCAAATTATTTTCCAAAATGATTGCATCATTTTATAGTCTTTCCAGGAGTGTATGCGAATTCCATTTGCTCCACATTCTCCTGAATGTGAACTAGGTATTCGCAGTCATTTTTAATGTTATTCCTTCCATTGAGAGTGTGGTGGTATCTCATTGTGGTTTTGATTTCCACTTTCCTAATCACAAATTATGTTGAATATTTTTTCAGGTGTTTATTTGCCATTCGATATTTTCTTAGATGAAGTATCTGTTCAAATCTTTTAAGGACTTTTAAATCATGTTATTCTATTAAGTTGTAAACATTCTTCATACATTCTAGATACAAGTCTTTTGCAGATATATGTAAATATTGTCTTTTGGATTATGGATTGCCTCTTCATTTTCATAAGTGTCTTTTGAATAGTAAAATGTTTAACTTTCATGAAATCCTAGTTATTGATTTGTTTTTCTTTTACGAAACTGATGCGCTACTTACTGTGCTAATGAGGCACCTGATATTTTTTCTTTGATAGTTGATGCTTTCTATGTTTTAAAAATCTTTGCCAAACTCATGGTCACTAAGATTCCCCTCCACATTGTTTACTAGAAGTTTCATCATTTTAGCTTTTATATTTAGCTCTATAGTCCATTTTGAGCATTTGGCTTTTTGTAAATGGTAAAAGGTAAAGGTGAAGGTTCATTTTTTTGGCACGAGGCTATTCAATTGTTGAAAAGACTGCTTACATTAAATTACCCTAACACTTGTGTTGAAAATCAGTTGGCCATATATGTGTGGACCTATTGCTGGGCTCTATTCTGCTCTTTATAGCTATCTGTCTTTATGCCAGCACCACATTGTCTTGATTATTGTAGCTTTATATTCTATCTTGGATCACATAGGGTATTTTATTTATGTATTTATTTATTTTTTAATATTTATTTTATTTATTTACACATACAAGAGCTGGGGTGTAGGCCAGAGGTGGTGGGGGGGTGAGAGGATTCACCAGAGACAGAGTGGGGAGCAGAACAGACGGGTTGACAGAAATACACTGCTGAGGGATGCAGCGGGAGAGTCAGGAGAGGTCTGCTGCGCCATGTGGGCAGCTCCCTGGCCAGGGATGGAACTCGTGCTGCAGTGGGCTGCGGTTAGCTTCAGAGTGCTGAGACTTAACTCCTTGTGCCACCAGGGAGGCCCCCAGTAGGGTATTTTAGTTATATGTTGCTGTATAACAGACTACCACAAATCTGGATACTTAAAAAAACACACATTTATTATCTCGCAGTTTCTGTGGGACAAGGGTACAGCCATGGTTTAGTTAGATCCTCTGCTTAGCCTCTCGCAGGTTGCAATCAAAGTATAAGCCAAGACTGGTTTCTCGTGGGGAGGCTTGACTAGGAAAAAATCCAATTTGTGTGCTTTCACAGCATTCAGTTCATTGCAGCTGTGTAACCAAGAGTTTCCAATTTTTTGTTGGCTGGGAGATGGAGGCCAACCTCAGTTCCTAGAGGCCCCTTGCAATTCCTTGCTTTCTGGGGCTTCCCCATCATCGAGAGAGAGGGGTGAGGGAGAGAGAGAGAGAGAAGGAGAGGGAGAGAGAGAGCGAGTCTTTAGATTGAGTTTGCTAGCCAGTCTAATATAAAAATGTAATTCCAGAACAAGCCCTACCCAAAGTCTCGTTTCTGCCACGGGGTCCCTGATGCCAAGATTCGCATCTTTGACCTGGGGCGGAAGAAGGCAAAAGTGGATGAGTTCCCACTCTGTGGCCACATGGTATCAGATGAATATGAGCAGCTCTCCTCCGAAGCCCTGGAGGCTGCCCGTATTTGTGCCAACAAGTACATGGTGAAAAGTTGTGGCAAAGATGGCTTCCACATCCGAGTGCGGCTCCACACCTTCCATGTCATCCGCATCAACGAGATGCTGTCCTGTGCTGGGGCCGATAGGCTCCAGACAGGTATGCGGGGTGCCTTTGGGAAGCCTCAGGGCACCGTGGCCAGGGTCCACATTGGCCATGTCATTATGTCCATCCGCACCAAGCTGCAGAACAAGGAGCATGTCATCGAGGCTCTGCGTAGGGCCAAGTTCAAGTTCCCTGGCCGCCAGAAAATCCATATTTCCAAGAAGTGGGGCTTTACCAAGTTTAATGCAGATGAGTTTGAAGTCATGGTAGCTGAAAAGCGGCTCATCCCAGATGGCTATGGTGTCAAATACATCCCAAATCGAGGCCCCCTGGACAAGTGGCGGGCCCTGCACTCATGAGAGCAGAAGAGCTGCCCCCTTGTTAGTGACACAAATAAAAACCACATTCTTAACCAAAAAAATAAAAATAAAAAAAATGTAATTCCAAAAAAAACATCCCATCACCTGTCTGCGCTTAAGGGGAGGGAATTATACAAAAACTTGAAGAGTAGGAGGTGGGGATCATGGAACTATCTTAGAATCCATTCTCCTCAGGTAGCATAATTTCTCCAACTATGTTTTTCTTTTCAAAGTTGTTTTTGGCTAGTCTAGATGCTTTGCATTTCCATATAAATTTTAGAATATGCTGTAAATCTCTACCAAAAAAACAAAACAAAACAAAACGAAACCCCGCTGGGGTTTTATTGGGATTGTGTTATATCTATAGATCAACTAGGGGATAAATGACACCTTAACACTGGTGAATCTTCTGATCCATGGTAACAGTGCATGTCTGCATTTATGTAGCTCTTTCATTTCTATCAGCAATGTTTTCTGGTTTTTAATGGTCTTGCACATCTTTTTTCAAATATTTCCTTAAGTATTTTATATTTAAAAAAGTATTTTATATTTTTGGTACATTTAAATGTTTTTTTCTGATTTTGATTTAATTCTGAAGTATTTAATCTGTGAACTTGGGAAAGTAGATGCTTTCCCCTTATGGAAAACCACACTTGGTGGGGGGGTAAGGGAAGAAGGATTAGTGTCAAAATGGGGGTGGGTGGGAATTGTGTGAGGACTATAACCAAGATGAAAATGCATACATTGTGCAAAAATGAAAAAATGATGTAAAAATATATAAAATAAAATATTAAATAAATAAAATCAGAAAAGCAAAATAAATAAATAAATAAAAAGAAACCACTAAAATAAAAAGAAAAGAAAGCCAAGGTTGTCCCGTGCTGTGACTAGGAAGGCACACATGTTATGTTAAGGGGGCTGTTATCGTTTCCACTTGCCCTCACTTCTAAGCAAGTCCTCTTATCTAAGTTTTATCAGCAAAGACGTTGACAACTTACTCTTTGTCCAACTATTTGATATCAATGTCTTTTTTTCAGTTGATTCTGCAGTGCTGTAGGGAAAGGGGTATGATTTATTAACCTCCTAGGACCTCACCATCTCCTCCATCTGACTGGTGAAACCAACCTATTTTGTTTTAAAACTCAGCTCAAGGTCTTCTGCTTTCATGACAACTTCCTGACATTCCCTCCCATGTGTCCCTGCACATGCTTCCCACAGTGTGCATGGCAACACTTTGCTGCTCTTCTTTTTGTTTTTCAGATGGGGTCTGGGGCCTCCCTGGTGGTGCAAGAGGTTAAGATGCAGCACTGTTGGCAGCCACTGCAGCAGGAGTTCAATCCCCAGCCAGGAAGCTATCCACATGGCACAGCAGACCTCTCCTGTCTCGCCCGCTGCTCCCCTCAGCAGTGTATTTCAGTCAATCTGCCTGGTCTGCTCCCCACTCAGTCTCTGGTGAATCCTCTCACCCCCCACCCCCGCATCTCTGACCTATACCCCAGCTCTTGTATGCATAAATAAAATAAATCTTTAAATGTGGGAGCCTATGGATTTCACTTGTTTTATGTATACATTTTAATAGTCTCCTTGAATTAAAATGTTTTCTATTGTTATAGTCTCCTCTTCTGTAGTGAATGCAGTATCTTCTGTTATCTTTCTGAGAATATAAAATGCAATTGGTGATAGGGAGAGTTTTCTTGTTTTCCCTTTGAGTGGTCTCTATTTCCCTGGACTTGTGTTTACTATTTGTTTTCTTTCATATTGGGTACTACTAATTATTATTAGCTACTACTAATAATAGTAACTAACATTTATGGAGCACTTACTACATGCAGACACTACGTGCTGATTTTTCAAAGATAAATAAGACAAAATCCTAATCAGGATAAATACAAAGATCCCTAGGCCTGCTATAGTAAAAGTGTTGAAAATCAAAAAAAAAAAAAGAGAGAAGATATTAAAAGCAGTCAGCAAAATAGGAGCAGTTACTTTCTCTATTAGTCAGGGAACTCCAGAGAAACAAAACCAATAGGCTATACATAGACATACAGACTGATAGCTTCCAGTCTTTCTCCAGTTCGCATCAACCACCCTCTAATTCAATTTGTCCAAAAGCTCTAATCTGTCTGTGAACTTATCACCTTCCTCCTTCCCATAAATCACAGAACTTCTGCTGTTTCTCTCTTTAGCACCTTTATCTACCCAGTTACCGGAGTCAGAAACCAAGGAGCACTCATAATGAGTCTACCTCCTTCCCTTTACTCTCGGTATCCACTTTCACATCTACCTTTTCTACTTTCTGAATATCTCTTGTGTGCATGCCTTCTCTCCATCACTGCTCAAGTTTCATCACCTTTGCTTGCACTATTGCAATAAAATTGTTACTTGAGCAGAACTTCATCTTCAACCTACCCACACCACTACTGCCAACATAATTAACACCAATGGCATTCTATTTTCCTGCACCTCTGGATAACTCTAAACTCCTTAGAATGTTCTACCCTGATAGGAACCGGTGCTTACCTTTGTGATCCAAGCTTATTGCTCTAGTTCCTCCTTCATCTCATAACCTGAGCATTGAAATTACTTATAGTCTATTGCTATACCACCCTGAACAGACCAATCTCATCTAAAGTTACTTGCAATTTATCCAAACAAGTGATGATGTTTTATCCCCTCTCTGTGGCTTTGCTGATGATGAAAATTCCTAGAATGCCTTCTCATGCCTTATTTATTTATAAAATTATTATTTATGAACTAGCTCAGTCAACACTTTCTCTGCCAATCCTCCCTTGGTGCCTGTAGGCTGGTTTAGAAACCTCTGTAAGTGATCCATTTATATGCATTTCTTAACCTGTTATATATGTGGCCCCCAAGTTTACTAGTCACCTTTCAATGACCAGAACTGTATCTTTCATCTTTATATTTCCTACTACATAATGGGAGTTTCAGAAATGTTTGCTAAACTAAAATCATTTCCTTCCCCAACTAATGTGAAATATAGTTGCTAATTTCTCTGAGTTTGTCTCTTCTCTTTAAATGTCTGGCATTACCTGGGGGAGAATGATGTCAACATAGAGGAAATCAGAACTGAGAGATGGAGATATGGAAGAGTCACATGCCTTGTAATGGTGCTGACCAGTCTGTAACTTCCCTACTCATTGGTCATACATACAGGAGTGGACACACAAGGCATTCCTGGCTGGTGTATACATCCCCCAGTGACTGATTCAAGGATGGACATAAGCCTGAAACAAATGGAGAAAGAAGGATTCTAGCTCTTAAAGAAGGAGTAAGGGAATAAGGGAACACTACCATAATCTACTTAAGGGAACAGTGCATCTAGAATTCCCTTGTTCCTCCCATCCACCTGGAAAACTGCTCACATTCCTTGATTTATACCCAAATTCACTACCACTGTAAAATCTTCCCTGACTTCCCATGACAAAAATTGCTTCCTCTTTCTAAGTTTCTTAAGTATTCCCTAATTCAGTGTGTCCAGCAGCAGATGTAAAGAAGTTAGACAGACCAGAATTCAAATTTTAGTTTTGTAAACTACTGAGTTTTGTAACTCAGTAACCATATTATTTAGCCTTTTTGAAACTGACTCCTCATCTTTAAAATGGGGATACCACGATCAGCCTCAAAGGTTATTGCTGGTATTAAAGATGTCATTATGAAGTGACTGGCATATATGAGGCACTCAGATGATGTTATTCTTGCTGCCTCCTTCATGCCCACTCCATGCCATATTAGCACAAGTTCCTTGAATAATTATTTACTTTTCTGAGTTCCCAGCACCTAGGCAGAGGTTGACATGTTTTAGGTACATGATAAATGTTGGACAGGGGATAAATATGGAGAAGGGTAAATGGTGCTGATGGAAAAAAAATCAGTATCTGGTAAAGTTAGTTGTGTGTAAGATGAGCTCCTCTGGTAACCTATATGTTGCCTGAGGATCAGGGCCATGTTCTGCAAATCTCTGCATAATCCCTGCTGTGACTTAACAAAAGGGCTTTACTGGTGAGAATTTTTAAAAGGACACCAGATTGGATAGCCCAAGGTTGAGTGAATTCTCTTCCGCTGGAGAAGTCCATTTTACAAAGTATGTGGACAGGTTGCCCTCTGGAGACTACAAATTGTTCTCAAAACATCACTTAAATAGATCTCCCCATTATGAGCTGTATTCAGAATCCTAATGAATCTTGTAAAAGTTTTCATATGTAAAGTGTTGTGAGAAATTCCTCTAAAATTCCCAAATAACAATTTCTAAAAATCAGGACAACCAGGAGTTAGAAACACCAATTATGTCCACTGTTTTTCTTTCTCAAATTGAGGAAATTGTTTTTAAAAAGCAACCATGTGTGTTGCCATTACAGTGTACTCCATATTTATTAGACAATTGACAAGAAAAACAACTTTTGGCACAGAATGCCAATTTATTCTTTTTTTGGACACATTAACACAAAATATCCCTGCAGGCCAAAAAAAAAAAAAAAAGGAGATTTTAAACAACCATCATCTTATCTCAACATGGGGATACCAACCCTCCTTTAATAGTTTAGAAAGTACCTCGTATTGCTAGAGACATACATCCAGTCCAAATTTAATAAAATACATTTTAAAACATTACAAGTCTAACAATATAGAAACAAAAATTACACCATTAGTCAAATGAACAAATGCAAACATTTTCAGTCACTAGACATAGAAAGAGTGTGAATATGTCAATAGCAAGGGATAAGAAAATGGTTAATCAATATCAAGATCTTCCCTTTAATTTTACAAGGAAAAATCCTTGGAGTTGAAGCAGAATTGATACAATGCCCTCAGCCTCCACTTTCTTAAAATGAAAGCAGAGCTACCACCTTGCTATTGAGCAAGAAAATCTTACAGCACATACACAAAGGGTCGCCAGGGCAGGGAAGAGAGGGTGAGCCTTGTTAAATAGTAGGTTGGTAACTTTTTCCACAGGAAGGACAGATAGCTGAGCCAAGTAGGTAAATTCTGAGATCGGCTGGGCACGAGACCCTAAAACACAGACCATATGGAA